TACATGAATACTTGATTATATTTTGCATCAAACTGATCCAAGATGGCCCAACCTATCATGCCAAGCAACCAATTTACAACAAACATAAACTTCATGTTTATGGTTTGTTTCATTACCTTTTGCTTTATGACAAAGGTGAATCGTGAGTAGTAGTTCAACGCAAGAACATGTATTATGCAATACGTTACTAATAAGGATACCAAAAGGGGATGCGGTCGAAGTGGTATGACTCTTGACCTCAATTGGAATGTTGCAGGTTCAAGCCCACTTAACGCCAGATTTCGAAGGGATGAGTTAGCTTGACTACCCTCTAAGGGTTCGAAAAAATTACACCCTCTATTAATTATAGTTATTTTGGGTATTAAATTTGTGTTGCATTTAATAATATTTGGGAATTAAAAGATCATATTAATTACATTTCTTTTTTTTCAATTATCATTGCACTGATACGACTATCATTACACATGTACACTGATATCATTGCACTGATACAACTATCATTGCACTGAAAAAGGTAAAGTAATTAATATGGATTTTTAATTCCCACAGATTATTAAATGCAACACAAATTTATTACCTTAAAAGTCTATAATTAATAAGGGGTGTAATTTTTTCAACCTCTTTAGGGGTAATCATGCTATCTCATCCCGATTTCAGACCCTATTCCTTTTGGTTCACCAAAAGAAAGACTATATAATCCATATTACAATATATGGTAGATATGCTTATGTTATTTTATGTGAGTTATGTTTAAGACACATTACCCTACGAATAGAATATTGTTGTCTGCAACATATGACACAATATCCCAGTATTGGTTCCTGATAATTTGATATGCTTCTAGCATTTTATGGGTTGTCGACCGACATATTACCCTACCTCTTTTGTTTCTTTCCAAAATTCCAAACCAAAATCTTCTCAATATGTCCAAAATCTATCACATCACCATCCTTATCTACTCCTCTTTTCGGCTATAAAACGACAATCTTCCTCCTCTCCATATCATTCTACTCAAACCGAAAAACTCATACATCATCTCTCAATTCCATCATTCTTATTCCCTTCTTGGGAACTCTTCTCGTCATAAGGCACTTCAGGGATCTTATCGAGTTTGAGTGAAGCAATGGGTTATGAAATGTCTCCCAAAGAGATCATAGATGGATTGATATTCCTCTTCTTTATGACAATTCTCTTTTTAATTGCACGCTCTTTTCAATTAGATAATCCTGAATGAAAACGCTTTCTCGGAGAACTAAATCATCAAGATTGTAAGAGTGATTAGGTTTCTCATCTTTGACCTATGTATGGTATGATGAAAATGAGACTTGGATATCTATTCATGTATAATGTAAGAATGCTATGAATAAAGTGAAGTTTAAGTACTTCCATTTGTCAATAAATCCGAACTTTTACTTCCGAAAAGTTTGTGGTACATATTATTATTCATCATCATTTTGGAGTCAAATCATAAGCTTACCGTCAACTTCACTGGATCGTCTTATGAGTAAAACTCCATAAATCATTATATAAAATGGAAATATAATCAAATCCGTTGGATCCCACTTTGGACAAACCCTTAAACGCTTTGCCATAAAAATCGTCAGGATATGATCACTTTATTCAAATAATTCTTGATTCAACGTACAACTGGCACAATATATGACTGATATCTTTGCCCCTTTTACTAAATCGTTGATTAACCGACAAATCTATATGACGTACAACTGGTACATTATATAACGTGTCCTTTGGTCATTAACTTTTTCACTTCTGGTGAAAATTTTAGTTGCTGATATTTCTTCAATACCAACCTGTTTATCAGACAAGATTTTGACCTTGTCATTTTCACATTCACTGCTGGGAGTTGTGATACGTCTTAAAGATTCCTCTTATTTAGGATAGTCAGTTTATTCACATGTCACTATACCTTAACACTTATACGTCTGGAATGTTTCAACTTCTCCTTTACTTGCCATCAGAGCATAGTAAAGAATAACATATCCACATTATACTGACATACTTATTACCAATGAACTAGATATTCGAAAAATTTATCAACACATACCATAAATTATATAAATACGTTATATATAACCGACACATACAAATATATAGTCATAGCATTTACTCACGAACAAAACATTTATTTTCAGGTACATAGAAATCCCAAAAAACTAGCGATGACAATCTCGTAAGTTGGCTCGTACAATGAAAAGTAATCCCAATACTCTGAACTATCTCATAAGATAACAAAAAAAAGACATAGGTGATGATGGCAAGAGGCAACAGGTCTCTGTAACAGGTAGTGAAGCTCGAATGCACAGAATTGATGAAGTAGTCTCTAGAAATAGAGACTTTTGTTGCCGATGAACCTAAGAGATGGTACGTACAAGATGGTCAGTGGTGCCCATTGAAAGCTATGACAACTAACATAGTAAGCAAACTTACAGTTGTAGTTAGTCCATCCAATCTACTGATGGACCAGATCGTACACAAAGATCTTATCTTTCAGCACAAGATATGGGCATTAGAAAAAGATGAGGCAATTATCACAATCACAACAATGAACATAACATTCTTAAAACAAGCAAGAACCCATAATCTAATAGCTCCAAGAAAACAGATAAGTGGATTAGAGGGGTCTCTAACCTCCTAAAATTGTCAGCCTTGGACTCTTTCCGAAACCCGGGCACCATATTTAGAGAACAACCATGTCTTCGTTGATTTTCCTAATAAAATTGTTTGACTGCGAAGCAAGATTTTCTGGGAACGAGAAGCATAAAACAGACAAATATTTTTTTTTTTACAATGAACAATACTTTTTTTTCCTCGAATGATTAATAGACATATAATAATTATATTAAGGATTTAAATATAAATAGGTTCAACGAACAAAATGGGCTCAACTTAGCCAGTTTAAGGGATGGTTAATAATCAATTGTCCTCATTTAATACACTAAATTCCACGGTTGAAAAGATGGCGGCACTAGTGTCGTGCCTGCACCACAGAAAGCGCTATAATTTGAACTTAGTACACTACTATTATTAAACATATTCTCCATTAGGTTGCAACTCATTTGTTGTTATATTTTAAACACGATGTAATATTAAAAATGCCATTCTTTATCACCAACTATTTTCAAAACCTAATAATTAAACGGATTACTGTGACCCTTAATTTGTATTGTTTTTATGGTTGCACGACAAGGGTTTGAAGAGTCTTTTCAGCTTTGAGTTACATCATGAACAAGGTTAGAAATCGAATATGCGATCAGTTCATGAATTATTGTCTAGAAGGATATATAAATTTGTTTAGCAGTGTAGACATCGAGTCTATTATATATTTTCCAGAATATGAAAACAAGTTGTGGGAAATTCCACATAGAATCATTTTGGTGACCTAAAAGCATAAAACCGTAAGTTTGTAAGTTTTAGACTGCGATTTTGACTACACTTGTAAGTGAAAAATACTATTCTATGTAGAAACATTTATATGACCTAGAAGATTAAAAGCGTAAGCTTTAAAACGCGGTTTTGATAGCATTGTTTTTTCCCATTGATTTGTAAAACGTCTCTTTTTTGGTTTTCCACTTCGCCTATACTTATTTTTGAAATTCTAAGTTGAAAATTTGAATATTGGTATATGAGTGTCTATGAAGTTTCACTATATGTTGGATTGAAGTACAAACTGTTATTTTAAGTAATATGATATATTTTTCATATATCCAGGCTAAACTAGGCTAAAGTGATAAGACCATTAACCCTCAACTCACCTGCTTGACTGGACCAACAAGCTAAACCAGTTTGGCTACCTTGGCTCTAGTTGGAAATAAGGTTGATTTTTTATTTTATTTTTAAGGCTTAGTTTTAATTGGAAATGTACATGCAACGAAAAAAAACCAAAAACAAAGAGAAACATATTTTGAAAGCTCCATCTTATTTTTTGTTGATTGATAAGACAATATGATGCGAGAAATCATTTAATTGTAATCTACAATATCATTTATAGTGGAAATATAAAACTGCACCCTCCATTCAAAAATCTTTGCTCCTAGAGTGATTTGCGGGTGCTGATGTGGCTGGACATTTTAGCTGGCATTTTTCTCTCTCCTCTTTTGGAATTGAGAGCGTCCTTCCTATTTCCTTTCTCCTTCCCCATCAAATTGCCGGTGTTTTTTCTAGATCATCAACTGATCTTCTCTTCATTTTCCGATCCTTGCAACACCAAAATCCAGATTACCAGTAGGAGGTCTCACGATTCGACCGACGTTTTTCCATTCTCCATACTTGCAGTCCGACAGATTCTTCACTACTCATATCTACTTTTTGTCTTCTCGGAGTTGAGTCCGTCGTCAGATGGGTATCCTCGCACCATTGTCGGATCGTCGTTGTTGGACCATTGACAGGTCGTCGTCGCATCTCTGCTGGATGTTTCAAGTTGTTACAGTCAAAATAGTTAGTTTCTCATCTATTTGGGTATGTTCTTCGATACATTTTAGGTTTTGGTTCCTTATTATTTTGTAACTTTTTATTATTATCTATTTTGATTGTTTTCATGGTCATGTCTCTGTTATTTTCAACCTGAGAAATTTGATTTTGATGGTGGTGCTGGGTTGATATTGTCCCTAATGAACTTACCCTAAGCCTAGAATATGTGTTGGGTCATAGTTTTATAGTCATATAGTGTATATGTATGATAGATATGAACTCCATCAAGATTAGATATAATTGAATTGTTGGTCCAGCTATCCTAACATACAGATGGGATCACAAAGTTAAAACCCATGTAAATCATTGTCCAATACGGTGTTTCATTTTTCATCATTAATGATTGTGTAACTGCTGGGTGAAAGTGGAGAGCTTCAACCGTAGTAGTTGTGGTAAAGGGAGAGACCATGGAAGCAATTTGGATTTAATGGAAGTGGCTTTTCCCTAAAGCTTCGCCAGAACCCTGAGCTTGCATACGAGGGTACGAGACGAGTAAGGTAATAAGGGAAGAGCTCAATCGACTAGCCATTTCGTACCGGTGGGTGGTCACCAAGACACCAACAATGAGATCGTGGTGGCAATTGAATTTGGTGAGACGGTGTTCGTTCTTTCCTATCTGATGTGGATACTTTACCTGTTAGGGTTGTGCAACTCGAGGATAAATGAACTTCTGTTTTGCAAATAATTGCTTCTACATACATCTCTGTCTTATTGATGCTTTTTTCATAATTTTTTATTGTGTTTTCGCCACTCGGCAAGAGGGGTATGTCGACCAAACTTTGTTGTTCTTATTTGCATCCTTTGGGCTCTCATTCACTCACTTCATATTTTAGTACACGAGAAGATTATGTTGTTTCTAAGGAATTGGCAAAGCCCTTCTGATAATCATTCAGCCCTTTGTAACCACTAGATGGGGAATTGGATCTATCGTCTTTTTCCTTTTTAGGTTGTGGGGATTCATATGCCAGTGCAAGTTGAGATCTTTTAGCCATAACTTAACACCCTTTTTGTTTTGGTTTTCTCTAGGAGATGGTTGAATGGGAGCATAAGAGCAAGGTGAATGGGAAAAATGCATAATTGTGTCCATCATCATGAAGTTGCAATGCTGCTTGGTGCATATGAGAAACAAATTCAGGTATTAGTCATATTTTATGCCTCTTAAGGACCTTCTGCGTATGGTTGTTTGGTATTGTATTTGAAATCGAAGGGATTGCAGAAATAGGGTAATTATTTGTTTAATTGATTCTTTTTAAAGTTGTCCCATTCGATGGATACGCTAAGAGCTTTGTTTCTACTGATCTAAATGTGAAGTCCTCTTCTCCTTACGGTTGTGCCATTTGTTTAATATCATTTATGTTTCCTTACGGCTGGATTTGCACACGAATGGCAACTCTAAGATATTAGTTATTGAACTCTACAGGTTAGTCTTTATAGTACCACTTTGAGTCTTTGATGAGTGCTTTATAATTTGTTTTGTTTTGCCATCTTCTGGTCCACTGGTTTTGCCTTAAATGGTGGAGTCTTATACTTCAGTATGCATCACTTCTTCCTTCACATTTCCATGAGTCAGTTGGATTGTCTTTGTTGTTAATCTTTCACAAAATTACTTATATATTGAAGAAAATTTTAGATTGTACAATTTATTTCATGGTGTGTCAGAGCAAAAAAGTGTTGAGAATATTGAGTTAGGCCTAAGTGACCATACAACCTTACTAAAACTGGGATGACAAATGTGGAGCGAAGAGGTATTTGGCAGCGAGGCTGCAAGATCATGTAGGAAAAACTAGATTTAGTAAGACAAAGGAATGCTAATATGGGTACAGATAGAATGTATGGATAGGAACAATCACCCAACCATCCTTCCTTTGGATCCATGAATATAAATTCATGGTTGTGGTTTCAGTTCATTCAAGTTCCAACTGTCTTCATATGAGCGTTCTGTGTGTAATTGGTTCAATCGTTACTAGGATCCTATTGCCATATCGATATGGGTTTCCATTCCAGAAAATAAATATTGTCATCATCTGTAGCACCTGTATGTTATGTAAATCGGGATACACTAACTCATTAAACTTAGCTAGCTAGGACTATAAACTCTTTCTAATCACAGTCTATTCCCCTTGTTACATCACTCTCCTTATTTCCGTCATAATTGGGTCGGACTGATATTCGTTTTTCTTACTTAATGCGCCAAGCTGGCCAACATGAGGTTCTTGAACTCCATCACTGTTTAAATTGGTCCTACAGGTTTGGTTCAATAGATTGTTGGATCCATCAGCTTCTAAAAGGTCCAGGTGGCCAGAGCTAAGACTGGTGTGCACGAATCTATTAATTTTCAGGCAAGTTCCCCTTTCAATTTTGTAATTTTCTTGATTTTATTGGGTTTTTTCGTTAAACTTCATTATTGTCTTAGTGTACTCTCAGGGGTTCAAATGACTTCCCCTGTTTGAGTTCCAATGTTTATCATTAGGTTTCAATGTTAATGTTGGGGGCCATCAGGAATGTTAAGGTCTTCAGACCCTTCTTCAAGGTCGTAAATCTTGATTTTGGTTTTTCTGCTTCTGCGGAACATATTAGTGTTGGGTAGTTCTGATAATCTGTCCTCCAGGTATTTTGCTCCTGTGTTTGCTTCAGTTAACCATTATGTTGTCATCCAGTTCAGTCATTAGTTGGGGAGAGTTTGTAGTGCTCTGCTTTCTTTTGCTAGGCTTGGAGGATGGGAATAAGATGCATACTTGGTTTTTTTGTTGGGAGCCTATTGTGTTGCATTGAGGGTATTTGGCTTTTCATGATGCAAAATTATGTTACTATCTTCGGATTCTTGGTAAGGTTTCTCAAAGTTGGTAGTTAATAAAGACATTGATTTCTTCTCTCCTCCAACTTTAAGCATTTGATACCTCCTTCGCAATCTATTTCTTAGGGAGCACGAATGGCATTGATGTTAATGAATTGGATCCATCGAGCGATAAACATTTAGGAGCCCATTATTCTATCGATGATCTTTCTGGAAAGGTAGTATATTTCCATTTTCTCTGTTAAGTAGTTGTCATTAAAATTTGGCCTCTTATCAGTATTTCTTTCCAATTTGCAGGTCCGATGTAAGATTTCTTTACAAGGAACTGGGTCTTTCCTGTTAATTAGACATGAATGTCCCCTAGTAAAGTAACGATAAAGCATATGCCTTTGTTGTTGGAAATTGGAGTTTCTCTTCTTTTGTTCATTGAATTTTCCCCCTTTGAATTGTAGATTGAATTCATTGGGAGACTAGAGTACTACCGAAAACGTACAAGTACCATGAGGGAAAGGTGAAAGCTCAAAAGAACCCTATTTAGGAAGTACAATAGAGAACTTGAGATCCGATGCGAACAATCGGTCAATCAATTTTCACTCCTTCGAATCTCTTTCCCTCTTGATTTCTTTAACGCTTAGAGTCTTTCCAAACGATCTCTTCGTCTTCTGCCATACATAAGGTTGGCTCATGTTTGGGAAAGGATCGCTCGACGACATGTGCTACGTCATGAAATACGACATTTACGTCGGCTCAATGCCATGGTTGTTTACTTGTGTTTCTTTCTTATCTGAAGCTCTATTGATTTGAGGTTTCCTCAACAATTACCTTTCCAAATTCTGTAGGATTATGCTTTGGTTAAACATTGCAGTGTAAAACCAATACAATTGCATAATATTACCCGAATGAAAGACTAAAAAAGACTACCTAATTTCTTTTCCATAATTCTCTTTATAACGATAGTTAGAGAATAAATAGTAATTAAAACAAATATAGTTAAAGTACTTATGATAATATTTCAGTCAAACACTCAATTGTTTTTTTTTAAGTATTTCTCTAAAATCTCAAGTAGAAGCTGCTTTTGCAAACCTACAGCAAAGCCAAACTAGCCTATATTTAAGAATTTTCAGCGAGAAAACAACACTGGTAGGGTTGATAGTGGGAATGCTTTTGGAGACATTTCTTTCTCAACTTGGTGGTATTTTATGCTTAATTTTGATATAGCATTCTCGAACAATTTTAGTTGATTTCGAGTAGATCAATGACTAATTCGGGATTGTTGCATCTTGCATGGTTGTTGTTGCTCTTCCAAATTAGCGATGGCTTTGATATTGGATTGGATGCTGTTGGGGATTCTTTTCTGGTCCTGGTTGAGCAAAGCAAGTTAGTAATGCAAGATATTATAAGGAAATACCTTTTAACCAATTTATAACGGCAACAAGAAGTTCAAAAATTCTTATGAAATATGGAAATAAAAATAATATTAATCGAAGGATGATCTAATTAACACAAATATATATGAACTAATTATCACTAATGTCACAATCGACAAGTAGCAGAAAAATATTTTCACATTATCAATAAATTATTTACAAAATCTCAAATCATTAAAAAAGATGAATGAATTGATTAACATCAAACAATAAAAAAGAAATAAAAAAAATTCATCCGACCAAATAGGTCGGGTAAAAGCTAGTTTGTAGATTATGGGAAAGAAGTCAAATACTGAAATCGAGGATCTCGTAGGGCCTGGCTCATGGCCCGATCCATTAATTGAGGACAATTAAAGAACTCTGGGCCTGACCATCACTTAGTGAAAACGAGCATAGGTAGTACGTACAAATTGATCGATCTAAATAGTCCAGTTTTCAACGGTAAATTAATTGAAAAACGAGATAATTTGATTTATTGTAAAGTGGTCAAATCGGTTAATATCAATGCACTAGTTAGACAATTGCAATGGTACAATTTGTGGTACAACGAATTTGTGTCAGTTCATATCGGTTTAACAATATATTTAAAAATGTGAAAACCATTAACATCCAATGAATTTAATCAGATATAAAATATATTTGAAGATAATTTACTTACCATCCAACAAATATATAAATTTTTAAATTCATAAAATAAACAATAATTATTTTTTATTTATTATACATTTTCTAAAACGACCTCATTTTGCTTAGAATTTATGAGCATATCATGGCGGTCGTATCGGTGGTGTTCATTATGGTTTCATGAGTGATACTATTTGAACCAGGTTCAACCAGTCGGCATGCCTCTAGCATGAAAATTATGGTCTATTGTCTCATTTTATAAAACGATTTATTTAAAATGAGTCAATTCGAATTATTTGCTCTCACTCCAAACAATTGTAATTATCTCAAAACGTAAATTTCATTTTAAAAAATTATCTCAAAACGAGTCAATTCGAAATTCTTCAGACAAAATTGTTTTATCTAAATTTTGTGTTGTTAAATGAAACAATTTGACCATATTATCAATATGAAAAACAAATTGATTAAATTAATTAAATTAATCCATTATAATTTCTCATCCAAACTACCACCGGGCAGTTTTCGAATCGGTATTGTAATCAAAATGGCAGGGCCGCAGGGGCATATTGACCACTAGGCTCGGTAAAATGAACCAAAACTCGAAAATCCGATCTAAACCCGACCCGACAAATCCGTAGAGGACGGGCTCCGGGCCGGACTAGGATTAACCCGAGAATAAGAGAAACGGGCTTCAGGCGGACTTCAGACTCGCAACTATCCGCCCCGACTCCGCCCCGTACATATATATACCATCTAACCAGCAACCCTAGGCTAGATTACTCCCCTCAACTAAACTCTTCATCTCCCATTTTCTTCTCCGCCTCCAACTCTAGGCTAGATTCTAGCAATCTGATTGATTGGGCTGCATTGAATCCCTAACATTTCGACGCATATCTCCCATTGATTATCCGTTTTCCTTCCCGATGATAATAATGACTTCCCTTTCAATCATGGCTCGCCGCATGCAGAGAGAATTTCTCGCAGTGAAGTCGAATAGTCGATTTGACTGGAGTATAAATATGAGGCGGGGTTTATTTTTTTGTTCATTTTTTTGTGGATCATCTTCACATCCATTCCCACCCATTATTTGTGCCTCTCTATGTTTGTTCAAGGTAAATATCCACTTTCTTTGTTTTAATTTTGATAATTGATGTTGGTTAATGATTGAGGGAGTTGTTTGATATCCTACTAATCCTTGTTCCTCTATTTTTTCGGCAGGAACAATGTCAACAGAGGGAGTTCAACTCACTCTTCAAGATAATGGCAATAGTGCAAATCCAGTTCTATCTGCACCTACTGAAAATTGGACTGTCACAAATCCAGCTTCGTAGGCAACAACTACAAATGAGCAGAATGACAATGTTGTCGAGGAATTACTCGACGTTGGTAAGCTTAAGAGTGTTGTTTGGTTACACTATACCAAAGTTCGAATTAATGGAATTGTCAAGGCTAAATGCAATTATTGTAAGAAGCAATTAGTTGGAGAATCAAATAATGGCACTACCCACCTAAAGAATCACACCAAAATCTGTGTTCGAAAGAAAATTAGGGATGATAGTCAAAAGATTCTCAACCCTCACTATTTGGCTAAAGGAAATCAAGAATTGGTTGCTAGTGCTTTCAACTCTGAATTTTTGAAAAGGGAGATTGCAATTGCTATTACAATTCATGATTATCCTTTGTCAATGGTTGATCTCTCTATTTCAAGAGATTTGTCTGCTCTCTTCAACCATTGTTCATTGTTCCATCGAGGAATACTACAAAGAAAGAGATCTTTAAGATCTATGATACTGAAAGAGCTAAGATTCAAAGTGTGTTTGATAGCAACAGAGGTGGAATTGCAATAACTACTGATTTGTGGACTGCCACCAATCAAAAGAAGGGGTGCATGGCTGTTACAACTCATTATATTGACAACTCGTGGGTGCTTAGGAGCCATATTATTAGGTAAGACATGTACTTTGTATCGGTTTAAATCATTGGTGTCTGTTTCTTAGTTTTTATTTCATTCCTAATTGCATTTGTTTCTTTGTGTGTTCGTTCTTGTGCAGATTTGCATATGTACCAGCACCTCATGCTGCTGAAAGGTTGAGGACAATATTGATTAACTGTTTGCTCGACTGGAATGTCGACAGTAAGGTATCCACCATTACTCTAGACAATTGTAGCACTAATGACTCTATGATTCTTGTCATACCGTCAAAATTAGTGTTACCTTACTTGATAAGTGATGGGGCTTTGATACAAATGAGGTGTGCTGCTCACATCTTGAATTTGATTGTGAAAGATGGTTTGGATGTTGTTAAAGAGGGTATTGAAAACATTAGGAGTGATGCAGGGGAACTAGCGGCCAGGATGGAGGAGGCTGTTCAGGTTGGGAGGGAGCTGGCAGCCGAGAGGAAAGCAACCGCCAACTAGCTGGTTTACGTGGAGGAGAAGGAAACATGTTTCTTGTTTATTGTTTACGTTGTTTGTTTTGTTTGGGTTTTCCTAGTCATTGTCGGTTTTAGTTTAATAAGCATTGTAGGATTGGGTTATTGGGACAATGGCTATTTAAGGCCTTGTCTGCGTTTGTAGAAG